TTAAAGCATGGCTTTACCTGTGCTTGGATTCAAGTATCTAAGCAAATTCAAACTCCTAGGAAGCCCCGGCTCACAGGCCTCATTTTCAGAAACTCTGCAGGCTGCTCCTGCCCCGCAAAGACAGCAGACACAGGAGAGGAAACCCTACCTGGGCACTTACAGGTGGACACAGCTCTCCACCAGCTGGACATGGACCACCTGAGGACCTCTCACATCACTTCACAGGCAGTAGGTGCCTAAGTCACAGCAACACTTTCAATGCCCACCCCATCTTCCTCTAGCAGCCACCCAATGCATTTGGCCTCCTCCTAATTTATCTCCCGCGAGCTCTCAGCTCATCAGCAGGCAGCAGCTCAAGCTGCAGCTAGTTACTCCCAGCTGCAAGGCCAGACTCAGCTGCTTTGCAGGCAGGCTGGCTTCAGCTGTGCCGTGCAGGGTTCTGCCTGGCGGCCTGGCCTGTGTCTCACCCAAAGCATCGCCAGGAGACACGACGGCACCAGCACTCCTGTTCTCAGAGGAGGCAAATCTCCTCTAGGCTTCTCAAAATGCCCTCCCCAGCCTGCCCGGCACCCCTTCGCACCCCAAAGTCAATCACTAATTCTGTGTTAATGCCGCAGACATTCAGAGCCAGCCAAGTGCTCTGGAAAGGTGCGTGGCGCGGTGCCGCGGAGCCGCCCCACGGGGCAGGCGGCTTTCGCCCTTCCTGAGCTCTGACCTGCGGCACCTTCTGACATAATTTACTCATGGCGGAGCGAAACTCTGCAGCGCGCTATTTATTGCTCATTTCGCAGTCCCACGAACACATCTGTAAACTGAGAAGCTGCTGTTGTTGCTGATGATATGATATATTGCAGGAGGGGTGAGGGAGGGCCCAGGAAATTAACTGGCTTTGTGAATCTTGCTTATTTATTTGTTGTCTGTTTTAAGCACCTTTTTGGGAGGTTAAAAACTCTTAACACAGAGAGTGCTGGTATATTCACCCCTCGTTTCTGCTGCTGAAGGCTCGCCAGCCTGCCTGCTACAGGAGATGTTTTGACAACAAAACTGCAGCTATGATTAGCCCGATAAAAGGGAGCCAGAGTTGGAGTATTGATGGTATGTGCATCCAGGATCTGGTTACAAAATGGGCTTTTAACCACATTCTCCCTTGTGAATTTGTATTATCAAAGGCCATCTTAAAAAAGAAAAAAGGAAAAAAAAAAAAAAAGACAGACAACCTTTCTTTTTTGTTTTACACTAGTATGTTTCTTATGTTTCTTTATGTTTATGAAAAATGAGACATTAATAACCTTGGCCAGAGCCACACACGGAGCGGACGGGCACTTCCGCACTCGGCTTCACTGCCGGAGCCCGATGCAGAGCCCGGGAGCCGCTTCTCAGCGGGAGGCAGCAGGACYGGGGCTCGTGGCCGCGGGGCGTCCAAAGGGGCCGCAGTGACACTACCGGGCTTTTCCTGCTCCTGGCGGGACCGGCGCTATTTCGGGAGCACTCCCTGGTGCMCTAAATCACGGGGCGCGAAGCCAGCGCCGCCCTGCCCGCGGGGCAGCGGTGGCCGCGCACTGTGAGGGTGATGGATGGCCYGGGGTGTAGCCGGCCCGCGCTTTGTTCCAAGCTGCTGCTAAATAAAGAAGCAGGAGTCAGAGGCGAGAGCCGGCAGATCCCACCCGCAGTTGGGGGCAGCTCCGGCACGGGATGAGCGGCGATGCTCCAGCCCTGCCTCCGCGACACGCGCTGTCTAGCCCACTTTTGTTGACACGGGCAATTTCCTTTTTCCTATTGGATTTGCCAGTTGTTCCAGGTTAATTTTCCAGGTGTTGCCTGTAACTTATTGCCCTGCTCTGGTAAGAGGAGTGATTTTTCATAATGTCTCATATTGATTTTACTATGCAATAATTACAAAGTAGTATCAGGATGTGGTGCAAAWAGAAAAGCTGAATTTATATGCACTGGAAAACAGACAGTAGGAAGAGACAAGACACTAAAGACCTCTGGAGGAACCACAGGGCAAGAAGGACCACTTACCTTCTCAAGCATTTTCATGTTTTACAAACTTTGTGGAGCAAGACAAACTACCCTTCTATAATCTGCACAGCATTTTGTATAGATGACTTACATGCATGCGCACACGCACACACACATATCTAAGGCACAAATATTTTAGGAATAAATAGAGTACGGTCAAGTCCAGTAAAGTGTCCTCACTTTCTGAGGAGCTTTTGCCGTTTCTGTTCTCGCAGACCCATGAAACAGCAGTTTGCTTAGCCTTGACCTGCCCCCTGCTACCGCACAGTGCTAGGCAGCCAACCTGCTGAGGTCAGCCACAGAGGACAGAGAAAGCACAACTGAAGCCTAAGGAGCCCTGGGCTTGGCTTCTCAGATCACTGTACTGGGGAACAAGGACTGAAGCTCCAAAGTGGATTTAAATGACTTCYCCATTCTTTAGTGTTCACAGGTTCCCTTTGGAAGCAGATTTGTTCTTTGGAAAGCAGGTTTTGTTTCAGGACGAGGCTCCTGGGACTGACGGCGTGCTGCTTGTGCCCATTTCTGTGCAGGGATGACTGAGCAGTGACACAACCAAGAGGCTGGGCGAAGYAAGACGTGCAGCCGACTCCACCTCYGGCGGCTGCCCGGGCTCCTCCTCAGGGCTGCTCGGGCGCTACCTGCGCTCTCTGGCTGTTCCCTGCACCGTCCCAGCGCCAGGAGCCCCCAGGGCGGCCCAGGAGCTCCTGGCCCGGGGGTGGATACAGAGCAGGGGCAAGAGGCCAGCACAGGCTGGGGAAGCTGCTGAAGCGCTGCCTGGTGCACAGGAGGGGAGCTCAGCGACGTGCGCACATGAGTCCTCACAAACCCCGCGTGCCCCAGGCCACCCTCCCAGCCTGGAGCCCCTGCCCAAGCGCTGCTGATCGCCCAGCTGCGTGTGTGTGGGACACCAGTCCCACGAGGACACCTGCTCCCAGCACCTCGCCACGTGCGGCCCCGTGCCGGAGCACAGCACCAGTGCCCGTCCCGCCGTGATCCCTGGCGGTGCAGCAGCACCCCGTGTTCCTCCTCAATCCATGGGGATGAGAGATGAACACAGCTTGCAATAACTTAGCCTTTCTGCACAGCTATTAACGACGCTTTACATATATATATATATAAATAGATAGATCATATATATACACACACACATACGCTTATATACATACTTATATATACAATTTTTTTTTTGGGGGGGCGAGGGAGAGTTTCCCCTCCTGCCCCTAGGGGATATTCCCTACCCCCTGGGTGCTTCCTCCTTAACACAGGCCGCTCTGTCCGGGCGTGGGGGGCATGGGGGGGCGCAGGGCCGCGCTCCCTCCGCGCCCCGCGCCGCGCCCGCCAGGTGGCGCCGTGGCCAAGAGCTTGGGCGGCCGCGCACCTGCCCGCGCCGCTGCGCGCGCCGGCTCCGCGCGGGGCTCAGCGCGCCCTGCGCCCGCGCCGCGCTCCGCTCCGCATCCGGCTTCGTTTTCCGCGCAGAGCCGCGGCGGGAGGCGGCGGCGGAGTCAGGGAGATAGCCCCCTGCCGCGAAGCGCGGAGGAAAGCGGAGGACGGGGGAAAAAAAAAAGCGGGAAAAGGGAGAAAAAATGGGGAAAAGTGAAAAAGGGGCAGAGAGGGAGACAGCGCCGCTCCCCAGCCCCGGCGGGACCCCCGGCGGGGGCTGGACCCTGCGCTCCCTGCGCGGTGCCCGGGCCGGCTCTGTAGCGCGGGTCCCGCTACGTGGCTGGGATTTTTTTTTCCTTTTTTGGGGGGGGTTTGTTTTGTTTTATTTTCAGAAAAACACTATCAGCAGAACAATTCCAGCACCACGCCCCTGTTATCGCTTCGGCAGCCTCMCTGTTTGAAATATTTCAAGTGGATAATAAAATAGTCACCGTATCTGCGCGGGTTGGCGCAGCGAGGGGCGCGGGGCTCCCGCGGGCCGGGCCGGGGGCAGCAGCTCCCTCGGAGCTGCCTTTGCCTTTTCCTCGAGTGGAAACGCCGAGGAAAAGCAGCGCAGTCAAGTCCCAAAAGCACCTGATTTGAGCCCGATCCCCGCGCTGAGAGCCCCGCAGGGCACCCGACTGCGCCGGGACAGCAGCCGCCCGCCCCGTCCGTGCCCGGAGAGCATCAGTGCCCASAGCAGCGAGAACGAGCCCTGCCCGCAGAGCAGCCGGGCGACGAGGGGCTTTTTCTGCCCCCGCGGCTGCCGGGCGGACCCTCCCCGCCCTGGTGCCGACAGATGCCGGTGGGACCGTCCCGAGCCGAGGAGGCGGCCGGCGGRGCCGAGGCGAGCGGAGCGCGCTCTGCTCCGCTCCGCACGGGTCGCGCTCGGATGCTGCGCTGCAGGCAGCAGCCAGCACCTCGATTCCCAGTGTGAACCGCCACTTGGAAATCGCCAGGGAGCGAGAAAAAAAAAAAAACACGTTAAATGCGGGGAGGCAGAGAGAGAGGGGAGGAGCGTCGGGGCCGGTGCAAACGCATAAAACCAGCCCGAGGTGCGGAGCGGCCCCGGCGAGGAGGGCGAGGAGCCGGGGCCAGAGCCGCGCGCGGGGCCGGCAGGGCGGGCGAGGCGGCCGCGGGCCCTGATGCCGCCCGGCGCCGCGGGGCGAGCAGGGCCCGCCCGCAGCCACAGCCCGCGGGCTCCCCGCGGGCAGCGCCGCCCCGTCGGGGCGCGCCGGGTGCGCGGCGCGCAGCGGGCAGGAGCGCGGGCCGCGCGCGGGCCGCCAGGTGATCCGCCCGCGGCGCCTTCCCGCGCCCGCCTTTCTGCCTCCCCCCCGGCCGCGCGGCTCCCTCGCGCGGAGAACACGCCCCGGCGTGTGCAGAGGCGAGGCGGGGAGGGAAAAACAGGGGGGAAAGGGAACAGGCAGCGAGMAGCCACCGCACCTGCGGAGCGGGCGCGGCCGCCCAGGCGCCGCGGGCAGCGCTGAGCGCGCGGAGCGGCAGCGCGGGCGCGGAGCGGGGCTATGGTGAGCGGGCACCGCCGCCACCCCCAGCCCGCCCGCCCGCCCCCGGGCATCCTTTCCATGCTGGTGTGAGGCACGGCGAGCGGGGAATATGAACAGGAAGGCAAGGCGCTGGATCCTGCACATCTTCCTGAGCCTGGGGATTGTCTACATCAAGATCGGGTAAGTAACTTTTTTTTTCCCCCTGTTCTTTCTTTTATAACAATCACTGGCTCTCTCCGCCTAACCTGCCCGGACCTGTTGCTATTTAGCCGGGGAAGCAGCAGAAGCGATGGTGGCAGCCCTGCTTATTCCGTGTTATTTGGCAGAGTGCAGGTAGAGCCCAGCACCGGGCAGCGGCCCCGAGGCGGCGGGACAGGGAGGCAGCTCCAAGCCCGACCCTGGCCCCAATCCCGGCGCATCCCAGGTGCGGGGTCTGCTCCCTCCGCACGCGGCRGTGCAGCGTTCAGCGCCGCGCTCTGCGTGGCCAGGCACGCACCGCGCTTGCATGGGCTTTAATTTATGAACGAGGAAGTGGAGCCCCGTTTTGGCAGGAGCCCACGTGCTCCTTATCTCTGTTTTATTTATGGAGAGGGAGAGAAAGAGAGAAGCAGCAGCAGTGAATGGGGAAGATGGGTGTTTTCCGGGGGCACCTGCTGCACATGGGGCTGTGGGAGGGTGGCAGGTCCCCAGGGCTGGCCCAAGGACACGGTGCCCCCAGCACCACYGGACTCTTGTCGTTGCAGGGGTTTTTCCTCGGTGGTGGCCCTGGGCGCCAGCATCATCTGTAACAAGATCCCGGGTCTCGCCCCCCGGCAGCGGGCGATCTGCCAGAGCAGGCCYGACGCTATTATCGTCATCGGGGAAGGGTCCCAGATGGGCATCAACGAGTGCCAGTTCCAGTTCCGCAACGGGCGCTGGAACTGCTCGGCGCTGGGCGAGAGGACGGTCTTCGGGAAAGAGCTCAAAGTGGGTACGTGACCTCTCTGCTGCTGCTGGCGGCTCCCTCGCTCCTGCCGCGGGCACGCACGGCTTGCGCGGGGCAGGGCCGGCCCCACGGGTTGTTTCCAGCCCGTGCTCGGGCTGTCGCACTGGCACAAGTGGCACCTGCAGCTGTCCCCATGAGCCCCTGCCTTGGCCCTGCTCTGGTCCGGGAGMGCGAGTCGCAGCGCCTCAGCTCCCCCACAGCATCTCTATCCTGTAATGTTCTTGCCAAACCCTTCCAGAAGACTTTTCCCGCTGTGTGCCTGGGTCAAGAGCCCTTTGCACACGCTCAAGGATGAGCAGACATGTTCAGAGCTCTGGTTAAGGGCAGTGGTCAGAGGCAGGTGTGTGGCAATCGCAGTYCTGGGCACAGGAGCCTGCGGGCGATGCTGGCCCGGGGCCGGCAGCCTTTGGGACCAGTGTTGGCGGGTCGAGGAGTCAGGTCGTTGTGAGAGGTCACTGTCCCAGGCAGGAGTTAGTCCATGCTTACTGCCTCTGGTGCCCTGCCYCCAGAAAGAGCAGGTACTTCCCAGCAGGGCCATCAACACATCTACAAATGGGCTGCGTCCCCACCTCAAACGCAGGTGTAAGAAATTCCCCAAAACAGCAAAAAGCAATAGCAAACGTGGATGCTGCGAGGAGCGGGATGGAAGCGAGGGCCGGAGCGCCCTGTGGGGCTGCACGGCGGCTGAGCCCGGCCTGCGGGAGCCCCTCCAGGCTCCCACTTGCAGGCGGGGACAGGATGGGGGGCGAGAGGCCCGCGCCGCCCGCCTCGCGTCCGTGTGAGCTGCAGGCACCGAGCACTAAGCCGCGCTCTGGAAGGCCTCAAACGGGCCCCAGGGCATAGTAAAGGACAGGAGGGGACCGGGGTCTCTAGGTGGCCCCAGGGATGCAGCCTCCGTTGGGGAAGGCGGCAGCCCTGGCCRCGCCTGGTGCTTTCAGGCTGAGGGCCTGAGCGTACATATTCATGCATGTTCCCATATGTGTGCATTTCCCAGTGTCCAGAGATACTTAAGGAAAGAATAAAGAGAGAACAAAAAAGTAGCTTTTAAAGTCAGCGTGTGCTACAGGTCTATCGGCATCTCACACATGGGGTCAAGGAAGGGATGCCCAAACCCAGTCCCCTTTTTGTGATCCGAGAAGGGATCACGTGCTAGGACAAGCTCTTTGCTTCTGCCCCCGAGCGGCGACCCGCACACGTGTCCACCACGTAGCCGGCGAGGATCCCTCCGGATGGCTGGCGGATCCCTCCCGTTGGGCTGCGAGCAATCCTGCCTTAAACAGAGAACGTGGGGAGGGTTCTGCTCCCCCAGCAAATCATGCAGCTGCGGAGGTACCGGGGTCTGCTGCATAAACATCGCTCAGCTCCTCTTCCCACCGCCCCCAAAATTGAATTATTTAGCTAGTGGGTTATATTTAGGTCCTTTTAAGGAAAGTCAATATCAAAGGAAGTAGACTTTGATCTGCCTTTGAGGTGATAACTCTTAATACATCTATCCGTCCATTATGGCACTCAAACAGATAGGGCAAAATCATCGCTGGTCTCAGAGCCCAGTCAAGTGCTGAATATCATCCAGATTAATAAAACTCATTTAAAGAACAAGCAAAAACTTTCAATTTAAACAACTTACACATTTACATTTAAAAATGAATTTGGACAAAAAAATATCCCTCATTGCAGAGTTGAGATCTGCAATGGTGAACTTGACACACAAGGAAAATACTGTATTGCAAAAGTAAAGATGGGAGGACACTCAAATACCATAGTTGKTTTTTTTTTCAGTTGCTATCAGCATCCCTAGATTCTCAGTCCTTTGGCACAATGTGCTTTACAATTTGGCAGTCAGATAGTGACTAAGACGCGGGTGCTTTTATAGTGTTCAAAGGCTGATCATGTTTCTCAGCCAATTGCACCTTGAAAATTATCACCTGGGAAGCACCCAGGGCACCTGCAATTCCATCACTGGGTCACACAGTCTGGAGCCCCGCTCCAAGGAACTCTTAGGCTAATAGGATTTGCATGTGTGAGTCCATACAAATAAGTTACCTGGGATGCTATGTATTCTAGTGAACTATTTCCCAGCCACACCGAGCTAAATCTCTTCCAAAGAAGGTTTCATGACCTCCACCTTTCCCGGGTAATCTATTTTATGAATGTTATGCACRTGCAGCCGAATTATTTGCTGCAGTTTGATGCAAATCTGAGCGGCCCTGGCACCCTCCTCTCGGCTTCCCTCTGCCCATTTTGAGAATGACAGCAGAGATACCGGCCCTGGTAAAGCTCCCTGGAGTCTAGAGAAGAAAAATGCCATGCCAAAATTTCCTGTTCCCGTCTGTCTCACATGTGTGTATATGTATTTTAAAGAAATCATATTTAGCCTGTTTCCCAGTGATAATTCTGTTGCGGAATTACAGTTAGCAACTGTCTAAATTCTCTTATGTGTCGTATGGCATGTTCGTGATCACAGGCTGAGTTTCCAGATTCGCAGCATGCTTCCAAGCAGGATAGCATCTATACACCATTTCTGTGTCATTTTCTCTGGTTTGTCCTTGAAAAGAGAGATTCTCCTCTCCTGACACACTGTGGATATCTTATCATGACAGCTGGTGACAATAGTGCCAATAACATGAGGAAATATAGCAGAGTACAAATGACATCAGTTTACTCAGCAGAGCACTTGGTCCAATCACAAGAAGAAATGAAAAAGCCGCAATCAAGATTAACACAATAGCTTTTTTTTTCCTACACAACTCTATAGACACCTCATTAATAATGTAGAGTCACAAAGAGGATTTTTAAAATAACCACGGAGATGATGCAAGAGCACAATTATGGCTATTTTGGAAAACAAAGGTATCTGTTAGAGGGGTCAGCACTCTCTTCCTGAAGACAGCCACTATAAAAAAAAAAAAAAAGGTTTTACAGATGGATAGTCCAAAAACCTCCTGCCCACGTCTGTTCAAGTGAAATGGGATTCAAGCCTGAACACTGGAACATCCAGAGATGCCTTTGACTGAAGCTACATCCTTTTGCCATGACGGAGCAACAATGCTACTATTAAACATGACTCGGGAAAAACATGCAAGAAAGAATAACACAAACTCTTTGACTGCATCTCCACAAAGTGGCCAAACAAGGTGGAAATCTGTGTGGAGCTACGGAGGGGAAAGGAAAGGCAGCACAGGCTTTCAAAGGCCCGTTGTGGGACCTGCCCGGGACAGGGTAGAGGGAACGAGATTGCAGAGATGTGGTGGTCTCTGAAGAACATTAGAGCAAAACTTTTATCACAAGCTTACAAAAATTCATCAACTGTCCAGTTTCTTKGACACTGAAGAGCCTCCAAGCTTCCCATACCTCACCCATCTTATGCTACTCAGGTGAGTGGTGAAGCTGGAATCCAAGGACGACTCCACCTCCGTGAACTGGTCCTAGGAATCTTGAGGGCAGCAGCCTCACTTGGCYCCTACAGAGCCCTCTGTGCACAAGGCCTGGGCTCAGGGATTGCTCCGGATACCTCCAGGTGTACAGGTTAAAATGCAAAAGGACATTGGCTTCGGATTATACAATAGGCTATTTTCTCTGCACTGCTTACTGGACCAAATTTAGCAGTGATTTACTTTAAAAATATATTAGAATACGCTAAAAAGCTTCTCTTCCTCAACTTAATAGTGTTAGGGATGCACTGAAACAAATAGCAAGCATCCTACTTGTCAAAATATAACTAGCTCCCTCAATAACTGTCTATTAGGAGCCATCTCCCTTGCTAGCGTGCAAAAGGGAGCAAAATCCAGCTTGTTCTCCTRCAGCTTGTCTGGTCTGCTCTGGCGGAGTTAAAAGAAAAAGAATACAATCGAGCTTCATTTTGCATTAACTTTCATTATAAAGACAAAATTGTTCAAAAATACCCCAGGACAGATACATTCAGAAAGGATTCCTCCTTTTTTTTTTCTGGAGAGTTTTGATATTCCGCCCTGGTGTAGTCTCTTGGCTCAGATTTTGAACAGGCTGATTCTTTGACTCACAAGCTAACAGACCGAGGGGGCAWGCACAGATAGATCCACATGGAAAAGCCTGCTGTTTTGTATGGCAGGGAGCACATGTCCCTGGAAGCTGGAGTCCCACGTGCTGCTGCACTCTTCAGTGTCGTCAATACTGTTTGCTGAACCAGTGGGGTTGTGAAACCCTGCAGATATAGAGAAGAAATACTCTCCCTAATTAAGAGGGGCCTTGCTACCTACTCATGYAGGGTCAGGATTTGCATTCTGCTTTCAGTCCTTACCGCCCATTTTAGGGTCAGTATCTTGAGCAAGAACAGTTACTTGCAGGCAAAACAGAGGCCAACCTGACACATGGCCCAAACATCCCAAAGCCCAATGCTGCTCTATGCCAAAACTCAAGCTCTCTAAGCAGAGACTGTCACAGTAAGATAAAACATTGCCCCAAGGTCACTGCAGTTGGAATTCCCACCAGAAGGTTTTCATGCCTGCCTTCAGATGTATCTTGTGAGTACATGTTTCAGGGAAACAAAAAGATTACATTTCATTAGAAAGGTAAAATAGATATCTCCTGTTGTGGGGTCAGAATATGAGGGTTTCTGAAGTAGTATTCTCAGGTGGAAGGATCAAAGATATCTGAAAAAGGGAAACTATCTTCTGAACTTCAAAATCCTAGCTGCGATTTTTGCAAGGCAAATGCCTAAAGCACTTATTCTATAACTAACTAAATATTAATAAATATAAATACATTTTTTTTTTTCATTTTAAAATGGGATATTTTCAAAAAGAGTCACTGTAYCTGGGCTGTTTCCTGTTCAAGAATTTTGTTTCACTTGTTGATGAAACAATCTTGGCTTGATAAAGTGGGCAGTGACTAAACACCCCAAAGGCTCAAAYGTCTTTTAGAGCAGCTCTGCTTATTTGAATTATTGGCACTACTGTTTTAAAAGCACATACCACCAGGGAGCTGCCATTTTCRTTTCAAGTCAGTACAATATTTTAAGGGCAACCAGTAGCTCAACACTTTGAACCACTACAGAGTGGGGAATAAAAAGGGGAGTTGTATACTAAAATACTTTTTAAGCTACTACCTTGTTAATCAMCCCTGGTAGGTTAAAGAAAGATAAAACCCCAAAACTCCAAGACCAAACATAGCTTACCAAGAAAAGGAGGAGGGACCCCAATGTAGTCAGAGGATGAGTTTGCTCTTCATTTTCACTAACTATGAGTTATGACCTCCGTGGAGAGAGGAGAAGTAATGTTAGCTATGGCACATAATTGGCAAGGTACGCTGTATTTTCCATCTTTATATTTTCACAATCAACATATATTTCAGCTCATGTCACTGCAGATAACTCCCTCTCTGACCCTTTGGCTTTAAATAGCAGAAAATACAATCTATGTTTTCCAGTGAGATAAATAGAAATTTGTCTTTTTTATTTCCCAGATTAACCAATTTATGAGGGGGGCTGATATGGCGGGTCAGGCTATTTAGAAACATGCCTAGATCCTGCGAGGTCCTGAACTGCTGGGCACTTCCTGCARGTCAAATCCACGCTGTATCCCGCAGGCATGGGCCTCCTTTCCCACCCAACACCAAGTTACTTTATTTTTTACACTAAATTCTCTAAGCTTTTAGCCTATGTGAGTGAAGCTTTTTACAACCTGCTCAMATTTTAAGATTAAACTGAAGAAGTTAATGTCCCTGTCGCTGCAACAGGCCTGACTTATCCAAGGGCCAGTCCCTCAAGCACGAGAGCGAAGATACCCAGGTGGGATGGTGCTTAGAGGGACACGCAAGCAGGACACGGGAACGATGCTGGTGYTGACCTACTCGCCATGGTCCTAGTGCTTCCTCTCAAGGCATTGGAGACCCTGAGGGGCTGCTGCTCATGCACATCACAGAGTTGTGGTCAAAGCCCATGTACCACACGGCCCGGAGAAAGCACCATGGCCAAGATGCCTGTGCTTTGTGCTGCTTTTGGAAGTCCTGGGGGACCTGGATGCGGAGCCCTCCTCTGGCAAAGCAAACCGAGCTGCGAGGCTCTGCTCCACAGGGACCATCAGGACAGCAGGCACGATGCCCACGTCATCTACACCTAGAGAAGATGAGAAGAATGGTGAAATGTCTGTGTTTGGCACGTGAAGAAAACCYGCTGGGCTCCTGCTGCGCTGATTTGGACTGAACTTGTTTAGAGCCTGTGCCCACATCCCAGGGCTGGGATTTTCTCTGTTCTTTCAGCTGCTTTTGCAAGGCTGGCAACATGGATGAGGGGAAGATCCAAACCATCCTCTGGCAGTTTAGACTATGAAAATCTCACTGGTTTTGCTTTGGCTTTGAGGAGCATTCAGGCAGTGCCAGCCAGAATCCGGCTGTGGCTGCCAGAGGATGCGGCCGCCTGCCCAAATCCAAGGACCATCTGCACAGCTCRCCCTGAATACGGCAGAGCTTCCGTGCTGTGCAAAGGGACCTGCTGCACTTCCAGCTATCAACGGCCAAGGGAAATASAAACCACGTTTTTATGCAGGTAGAGCCAACTCTCACCTTTCTCTCACCTCCTCCCGTGCTGGGGCAGCTGCCACTCAGCAATCCTGCCAGCTCGGCAATCACAGGCGTCGTGGGGAGCAGCYCTGCGCGGCCCTGCCTGGARGAGCCTCCACAAGAGCCCTTTGAGCTGACCCAGCACCTSGGACCATGATTTGCACCAATCCTCCACAAAGATCAACTGCTTGTTATTTGCTTTTAAAAATAGTTTGCATTTTTTCAAGATGTAGATCTAAATTCAACTGCAGCCTAAGAATGGATTTAGAGAGAAATAACAGGAAAAAAACCCACTTAATTCCTGGATCTCAACTCAAATCTTAGTTTAAATTTTCTCCMAAAACTCTTTTCTGATCTCCCTGCTGCAAACATACCAGTTCACTCTTCCAGCTACTGCCTCATCKTTCTAGCCTGCTAGAGAGGGTGACCCGCTGCACCCCAGGGTTTTCCTCAGCCTTGCAATGTTGCAGAAGTCCTTGAGCACCCCTGGCTGCAGCTACCTGCTTTACCYGGGAAGAGACTTGTTGTTTGTCCCTGGCCAAGGCAGGCTGTGTGTCTCTCAACGTGTGACACGTTGCTGACAGTCCTGTTCCTCTTCCCTGTTAGAGCAAACACAGGGCAATTCCCCCCGCGCCGGCCGGCTCTAGAGCGTCAGCACAAGCTCGAGGAAACCAAGCGCTGCCCTCGGGGAGCAGCTCTCTGGCTGCACCTTGTTAGGGCAGCGTTTCCAAGTGTGTGATCCTCAGGCCTTTCAGCCGTCTACCAAAGAAAGAAGAGCAGCAGCCGTGTTCATTACTTAAAAGTGACAGGAAAACTTAAGTTCGCATGTTATCCCATTTGGGCATTGCTGGCTTGGTTGCAAAAATGCTTTAACTCTTTAATCATTTTGGTATCTAAGGCACTGTCACGGAAAAGAAGCTCTGCCTTCCCAATGTGCCCTATACCATCCCCTCAGTGCTGACATTTCTATGGATTAAACAAGGCTACTGGAGCTTAAAACGGTGAATCATTTATGCAAAAACTAGTTAGTTTGATGGGTGTGACAAGCATGCCCCACTTTATCAATACTGTACAGCCATCTCCTGACAGTACTTCCTACCTGGATTGATTCCTCCACTGCTTGCTTTGTTGATCTTGTGATCTCGCAACCTTTAGATTTMAAAAGCTGGTTTTCCCCTGAACAGGACAAATCTATAAAATAGACTAATCTGTGTAAAAGATTTTAAGAGCAAGCTTGAAATTGCATTCTGCTTCTGCTTGCACTATTTTTATACCCTGTGTATTGCTTTTTGTTCCCTGAAGAGGCTAAGGAACTGCTTCATCTTTAAAATGCTGTATGTATCAGATCAAAACATCCTTTGATTTTAATTCTAGTTCTTGAAAACAACTTGCATTAGACTAGAAATCATCCAGCTAAAACAAAACCAGAGTCAAACGCATAGTCCCATTTTCATAAAAGCCACGAGTCCGGCAAAGACTCGTCCACAAAATCCCCAGTCACAGCAATTGAACATTTAAAGAATTTTCCTTTTTTTTCATTTGAAGATTTTTCCTTTTTTTTTTTCTTTTAAAAAAGAAGAATTCCTCCGAAGAAGTCTTATTCTTGACTACAGAGTTATTTGCAAGCACAGTGCCCAGCAGTATCAGTGGGATGGAGCTGGTGCCGATAAAAGGGCACGTAGTTGCGTATTAGCAGATTTTGATGATGTCATCATGTTTTTCCATTTTACTTCCTCGCTCATAAGGAAGTAGGTTCTGTTTCATTAAAAGAACCATTTACTGATGCGCAGCAATCCAGATCACGCACGTGAAAGCGACACAGCTCAGAGTGAAGGGCTTGTCCGATTGTCTTCCTAAGGGATATATATATATATATTTTTTTTTAATCCAACAAAACAGTAGAAATGTGCTTGTTCTGGGAGAATAAAGTATTGCCAGCAGTTGAGTTCTGCCAGGATTGGCAGACGTTTAAAAGAGGGAAGAGGATCTTCCCATCTGCCCTCTCCTAATTAAGACCCTGATTCTAGTCCCATTCATGCAAATGTTCATCTTCTCACTGGAGTGGGAAAGTAGTGGCTGCAACTTACTCCGGGACATGCAGTTCTTATTCAGTTAAATGTAACCATCTCATGAACGAAGAGTGCAAAATTTGCAATAGGTTTATTCTCTCCATATATATTCTAACTKTCTACATTTTTTTTTCTGTAGAAATGGAACTATTTGCAAAACCAGATCTATTTCAGTAAAAAGAAGAAATCAAGAATTTTTAAAGGGCTATTTGATATACATGGACAACTTCTGCAAAACACCTTGCATTTTGAAGGGATCCTCCTTCAGCAGAACTGGTTCCAACAGCATCACAGATCACCTAGGCTTTGCACTTCAGAATTTCACACCCTAGATCTAGGAAAGTTTCAGGAAAATAAATTAAATTAATGATTTATAGGACCCCCTCCCCCCAAACTAACRAAACAAACAAACAAAAAGAAACCTGTCATAGTCATAATGTAGAGAACAACACTGGCTTTATCACTTCCTCCCAGATATCTGGTGAAGCTGTTCTTTTACACCTTGATTKTGTGGGGACACTTAGGTCAGGAATATTTTTTCCATCTTGTGATGAATTCTGAAATTAAAGCAGAAACTTCTTGCCTTGGGACTTAGTGAAAGTCATAATCTGAAAAAGTGTTTCAGTTCGGCTAGAATAACTTCAAAATAAGATTTCTAGCAGAATTAAATTTCAAAACCCATTTCCGAGTTGATAAAGTTGGAAAAGATGTTTTTACAATTCCACCTGCAATTCCATCCATTTTCTTTCTTTTTTTTTCTTGAGCAAGAACACTTGCCAATCCCTTGGTTGTCCTATGGACAGCTTACCCTTACCCTTTTTCTAATGCCACCTAGAAACAAATATATGAAACTGCTTAACTACTACTTTATCTCTGAGGACCTCAGGGAGAGCTATCGCTTTAGAGGGTGCCTGAGCGCTTGCAAACACCGATGCTTAGCAGAGCAGAGCTGCTCACGCCCGCAGGGGTGCAGCGCTGCCAAGAGGAGCCCCCTGATGCCCGCGCTGCCGCGGCACGCACGCTTCCCGCGCGATTGCGGCACGCGGCGCCCCRCGCTGACGGCGCTCTTGTGCTTGCAGGCAGCAGGGAGGCGGCCTTCACGTACGCCATCATCGCGGCGGGAGTCGCGCACGCCATCACGGCCGCCTGCACGCAGGGCAACCTGAGCGACTGCGGCTGCGACAAGGAGAAGCAGGGGCAGTACCACAAGGAGGAAGGCTGGAAGTGGGGCGGCTGCTCTGCCGACATCAGGTACGGCATAGGCTTCGCCAAGGTCTTCGTGGACGCCAGGGAGATCAAGCAGAACGCCAGGACCCTCATGAACCTGCACAACAACGAGGCCGGGCGGAAGGTGAGTAGCTCTGCTCGCTTGGGCGCGGGTGTCTCCCGTGTCGGTGACGGCGCGCGGGGCCGCCRGGTGCTCTGGTGCTCCCGTCAGCGCGCGGGGACAAGGAGGCACCTTTGCCAGTCCCGTGAGCTTGCTGGGACCATCTGTCCGTCAAATATTTGTCTCAATGTTGCTCTTTACAGTTGCAAAAAGAAAAGGCAAACAAGCATTTTGCCTGGAAAGTCAAGCGGTGCGCGTGAGAAAAAGCTTGCCTGCTACCGTGCGGGTGGACGGGATTCCCGTCAGGTTCAGACATGAACCACTCACTCACTTGAAAAGGGATCGTTTTCAGCCCGACTGCCTAAACCTTGCTCTTTGTGTGAGCACTGTGTGTAAAGGGAGGGAAATGCTTGTGCAAGACGACCGCAGACTGACTCACCGTAACACCATTACACATGCTCGGGTTATCCCTTTGCACAGAAGCCTTTTCCAGTCTTCAGGACTGGGAGCTGAAAGTAGTTATTGCGGAGTCAACACATGGGGAGGACAAGAATTCAGGAGCCTCAAATGTGCAGGTTTCCTGAACCCACTAACAATAAGTGTTTTCTAGCATTTTTTACCCTTATCAGACCTTACAGAATTAATGTAGGTCCCTTTGCTTTCTTAGCTCTCTCTTTTACCTTCTCCATTATTTGTGGCATTTGTACTGACTTCAGCACTATCTTATTGTGACTTAGAAGCAAAAGAAGAAGGAAGTTAGGAACAGCAGTTAATTTGTGGGTACTATTTTGTTGTCACATTTATCTTTGGGCTCTAAGACATCTCCACTTAGGCACCATATGCTGCAGACAAGAATGTGGTGTTGAAGAAAAGCGTTTTCAACCCCAAACAAAAGCGTAACCTTTCTATTATTTAGTGCTACTGAAGTAGTTTTATAGGTCAGATTGTTTTTTTCCTCTGCCCAGAATGCCAAATGTCTGGTCTGGCCCTCCAAAACAAGCATGGTACTGCAAAATACTAGCAAAATTAACACTGAATTCTGACTATACATAGCTCAAGTAGTAGCTATTAATTTGTTAATCAAATATTCTGAGTTACCTCAGTAAAGATACTGATCTTTACCATTTGCCTTTTCGTAGCACAGACACTTATTAAAAAGCATGGTAGAACGTCAGGGTTCACAGTTTCCTCTGCTGCACAAGGTCAAATGCACTGAAAKCAAAAACAGCGGGGAAGTCTCACCCCGTGGAGCCTCACCTTTGCAGAAAAGATATTTGCCTGTTTATTAGGTAGGTGATTGCGCTAAAAGATTCCCCCAAGTAACAGACAAGCCTGCAGAGGACTACAGGTATAGACAGAACTGGCTACTCTGTTAGCAAATTATTTTAAATACCATAGCTCAAAGACGTAGACAAAAAAAAAAAAAAAAAAAAAAAAAAAAAAAAAAAAAAAAAAAGAAAAAAAAAAGAAAAAAAAGAAAGAAGGAATTCCTCAAAGACAAACAATACAAGTGTATTCCCTGGCTCTGTTATCGCACAGGTATGGAGCTAGGGTGGAGGAGGAGGGATAGGAGTCCCAGAGCTGGCCTGCAGGAAGGCAGAGCACAGAGCAGCCTCCCCTGAGGACAGCAGCGCCTTGTGTTTCACACCTATACCTGTGCAATTTGCTGTCCTAAAAAATTATGCCTGGAAGATTCAGCTCCATGCATTGTTATCTGGGAGAACAGTGGTGTGCACTATCTCTGGCGATCTGCCATTTCTCCAGCAGGCTCAGGAACTGTTCTGATCTAGAGATATTTCTACGCTTCTTCCTGCATCCCTTACAGAGCAAAATTACTGATCTTTGTTCGAACAAATCTCTGTTGGAAATCTTCAGGGAAAAGAAAGAGTAACATGATTGAGAAGAGGCATGTAACTCCACCAACCTGTAGAGAATGAATAAATGATGTTTTTGCTAGAGAGATTCCTTTCAGCCTTTGCTCTTACTCGAAAGATCTCAGTTTTAAAGACAATTGGCAGAGAGAGACCTATTTGGCAAGCCAGGTCTCTCAAAACCTAAAGCTTTCACAACAAAGAGTGTCTTGTTTTAGGTGGTTCTCTCCCTTTTGGAGCAATATGAATCTTATCAGCCTCCATACAATCCATTCTTGGTGGCTTCCCTCTGGGCTACAAATACTTGTCTAGTTTTACTTGCTCACAGCTAAGTTTATGATGATATTTATACACCTAGGAGACAGACCGGCACCTTGTGAAGCTTCCAAAAATAAACTAGATTTTCAATTGTTATTGATTTATCTTCACTTGTAGGCATCGCTACACCTTTCRAAAGCCAGTCTCACCTATTTCTTTGGTTCCTGAAAGGCAAAACTGAACTGTGTGCTAGGTGCACTCCCTAGGGCTCTCAGGACTGATCTATGAAAGGTCCTCCAGGATGACACCAAAATAGCAGCAGATTCAGAATGGACTATGGTAAATCAAACATACACTGTTACCTTTTTTTTTTTTTTCCTACAAGTCTTTCCATCGGTTAATTCATCTGTTCCACCTCAGAAAGCAAGAGCTGGCAGGGTTTGCACTGAAGTAGGCAAGGCCATTGGACATACACAAGGAAGCTGAACATAGATCGGACCTCATAGTACCCACTGACAAAAAGCCACCAGGAAAACTTTGACCCATACATTTTGGAGGTCTCAGTTCAAGATAGTCTTTATAGTCTCCTTAGAGATAGACTTTGTTAGAGCAGTAGTATGAGCTGCTCTTAGCTCTTTTACAGAAGATGAAAACTGGGCCTGTTGTAGATGGAGGCTTTCGCAGGTTAGTGGAGCAGATCTGTGCTGCTATTCCCTTCTCAGAAGAGCCTTGCTAGCAAATGCTCAAATCCCTGCCCCGTGCAGCGCAGCGCCGAGCGCTCCCGCCYGCTCCATCTGTCCAGGCTCACTGCATTTCAGCTGCTCCTTGCTGTCCACGACGGCACAGCGGCTCCTGAAGAAATTGCACTGGGTATCTCAGCCGCTGGGACAGGCAAGGTACGCTTTTCCTCATTGTTAAAAGCTTCAGCTCTCACTTTGGCCTTGGCTCAGGCTAGCAGCTCTCGCCACACTGCTAGGACTCATTTCTGAAGACAAATGCACGACTTTGAACTTCTCAGGCCACTCAGAGGGGAAGGGACAGAGTTCAAAAAGGGGGTTGCACGCACCCTGTACAAGTGCCCCCAAGCAGCTTGAGGAGCCTCACATCATTTGTCAAACCTTTTGSAGAACAGCTACTCCTGACCTCCAGAACGGAGTTAGAGTGTCTTTACTCTTTGAATTAGTGTTTCCTGAAGTGCTGATTCACCTCAGCAAGAAGGAAGCAGTGCAGAGGGAACAGGAGAATAATTCATATCGGTTGGGTCAGAAAAGAGAGATAAAGCCTAGATTAATTTAAAGGCATAATCCTGATTTGCCCTGAGAACTTCCATGTGAGGGGTTATAATTACAAGACTGAATCTTCTGTTAGCAAATTTGTCTTCTTAAGTACAAAGTTAATTAAATTACTGAAAGTAACACAATAACGTAAGTCTGAGAGATATTTATGCTCCAGGAAATAAAACTCTTATTCTCTCAGTTAACCTGCCTCAGTAGAAAAGTAGGCATTGAAAGGTTCTATACATTCTGGCTGTAAACTCTTCATCCTGACAGCAAGGCAAGGTACATGACCAGATCGCTCTCTCCTCTTTTTCTCTGTGACATTGAAATTCCACGAATGGCATCTTGCATCAGCGTTACATCATATTAAGTATAATGCAATATTATGAGTCATTGTTATAAATCATGGGCACAGGCTGCATTAGAAGGCTTTTGCAATTCAAGAGCACATCAAGGTGGATTTTTATTTAACATTTCTCTTTGGAGGCATACCTAGCTGCACTAACTTTGCAATGTGTCTTCAGCCCCTGACTCAGTAGCATTTCGGTTGTCCCTTTTGGCCCTGAAGTTCACGGCAATAGGGTAGAACATGTCTAACAGAATTGCTACGAATGTCAAGCAAGGTTAAGAGAAACCAGAAGGTATTTCTAAAGTGAATCATGCAATCACTGTAATTAATTGAAATGTTTAGTATTTTGTCCTTTAGGGATGACTATAATGAAGTCAAACATCAGCATTTGAAAAACACCGAGTTCAAACATTCTCCCAAGCTATTCTGCAAAGGCTGTTTTTATGACCACTCTCCTGCTCTGCTTGCTAGCATCTCTGACCTCAGAAGAGATTGCTGCCATATTTTTCAGCTTTGTGGAGCATCTGTGCAGTTCTTGCATAAAGTGTGGGATCACCACACCACTGCAAGAACTGCCCTGTGCCTGTGGCCATCCTTCCACAGGACGTGCTCGGTCCAGCTCCCAGGGAGCTCCATTTCCAGGAGATGATGAGGGACGTGTATTGCCCCACAAGCCTAGTGCCAGATGGGGCAGTCAGTGAGCCCGGGGTGTGGGGCCTGTACAAAGGCCAGGAGAGTCTTTTCCACATTTACAGACCAGCTGCAATGTAGCCCTGGGCAATCTCTCTCTGCACTTCTGTATTCCACTGTCTCACAGCTCCATCARAACGTGTCTCTGATGGTGCACGCGCTCCGGCAGAGAGCTCGCCTGTGTCTGAGCTGCTGGAAATTACYCGAGACTCCAGCAAGTCTAGGAGAGCAGCGCCGAGCACAACAAGGCTGGGTGAGGCTGCCCTGATATTCCTGGCACCCGCAAGCGAGAGATATTACGGTATCAGCAGCACAGCCCTGTGTGCTTGGAGCTCAGAATGCAACAGTGCTCTTGAGGTTGCACTTCTATTTTATGATGTTTTTTCACTTTCTTTCTGGCATGGCCACAGAAATGTTTCTGATTATATTCAGAAGCCTCCTGTTTTTAATGTTAAGGATGTTCTTCACAATACAAAACTGATAAATGATTCTCCCCTTACTGCTGGTTATTAGCTGCTACTGAAACAGAGCTATGGCACATCCCTTTAGATTTAAAGTAGGTTGATGCTTGAAGGGTTT